CAAGATTGTCAAAATTCATTCAATATTACCGAGAGAAGACAAACCCAAAATAGATTGAGAATTCATGGAGTTGTCAAAAACTCGTGCACGGCGCGACACAAGCTAGCTAGTACTATGTCTAAATTTACACCACGAAACTCAGATTTAACTAGCGAAAAAATACGCACGCAGAATTCGCAGAGGCGCAGGCAATGTAAGCCGCAAAAGAACAGCATCCAAGACAGGTTTTGAAAGGTTCCCATAGTTGCTGAGCTGCGATCAAACAAAGCTAGCGGAACAGGCGGTCATAAAGCCGGAGTTCGATATCTTGCGTAAGATGAGGCTTTGGGCGCGAGATGCTCAGATCATGCCTCACTCCGACAATGGCAGTACCGGCTCCAAAAAAGCATGGCTCTCAGATCACAAGCACAAAAGAGCAGATATATCCGCCGATTGAACGCAACCAGTTTACAAGGCAGGGAGCGGTGAGCATCTATGATGCAATAATAAAATTATAATTGTCATGATCAGCCGAGCTTCCAGATAATATACGATGTAGATAACTAAAAAAACTGATCATTTGCCGAAATAACCAACGTGCTTTTTCGAGTTAATATTGCGTAGAATCAAAGTTAACATTTCGAATTAATATTGCGTAGAATCAAAGTTAACATTTCGAGTTAATATTGCGTAGATCAAAAGTAAGTGGATCAGGTAGAGGCTCATACAACTTGAAAAAAGTAAAACCGATTCGAGCAAGTATGATCGTCAAGCGATTTCTCAATTTGTTTGCAGAATTCCACGATGAAAATATGCTAACAAACCGACTATACAAAACTTATTATTATGCATATAATATATTGACTGAGATTCCAGTAACTACAGCCGTCACAGAACTACATAAGAACGCGAGATAGATTAATGAGAGGATCGATGCTCATGATAGAGTAGAATATGAACTATCGTACAAATTGCGTCACTGCTCCACTTAACTCAGCACGTGATATAAAAAACGAAGATGCAGCAAAAGGGGAAACGTGTTCATTACAATAAAGGCAGGAGATAAAAGGAAAGACAAGGATGAGAGGAAGGCGATATGAAAACCACGCGAAGTTGCTGCAGAGAGGAAACTGGTTTCCTACGGCTAGGGGACGAGATGGAAGTAAGAGAGGAAGGGAGGAGATAAAGACGAAATAAAGTGGAAACTGGTTCACAACGAGATAGAAAGGAAGGCGGGAGGGAGGGAGGAGTGAGTCAGGTCGCCATGGCAACGCGTTGAGCAAACACAGCTCGGTCGGAATGCAGGACGCGCGCGAGCCGGGAAGCTGAGGCAGCGTTCCCACGAACGCAGCTACGGCGCCAGCCTCGAGCTATCGTGTGCTCAGCGCTGCAACATCATCGCAGCAACGACGCTTCTTAGTTAACTAAAGCTACGGAACATGCCTTCTTATAACGAAACAGAACGTAATGACGGTTGGTTTAACGTAAAAAAATACATCCTTAACTTTAATTACTCTAGTGTTTTGGAAACAAAGACGTGCGCTTAAATGGAAGTTACGAAACATTTTGCAATAGTGTAAAGGAAAAAAACATTTATCGAAAAAGATAAAAACGAAACTACTTTAGAATATGCACAATTTTTCGTCACGACATGTTCCCGCAAATTCATCGTTGTGTACACGCAATTTCGCAATAATTTTTATTCGGAGCGATCCGATGAAGTCGTGACAACAACTAAAAAAAACTAAAAAAACAACTGAGGCTGAAATTAATGAAATGAGATCAGCATGAGCAGAACAATTACCAGGACAACCCCTGGCCTGTTCTGTAGAGAGAGCAGAACCACTCACTCTCGCTAATGTTCAACCACAACAGCTGGTCGGACTGTAGGCCTAACCCATGGTCCCGCTGGGGCATAATGTTGACCCTGACTCATTGCTCAGTGCGCGCGCCAGGTCGCTTATGTACCGCTAGAACTGGGCAAATTTTGCGAAAGAACCCCACAATTAGGTCAAGGTCAAAATTTATTTCAATTCATTTCTTATACAATTTCAATGCCTAGATACATAAGAAACAAATTATACCAATTGTAACAGCAGCTATTACGCCGGAAACTTATCCCGAATATTTTGCAAGTATGTCTAGAAGCACACTAAGTTGGTGGCGGCAATGCTTGCGTGCAACATGTATGCAAGACATTAATGCTAGCAACTATATTTAGTACGACAAATCTTTTCTGAATCTCGATCGTGTCAGTGTGAACATTTTAATAAATTATTTGCGGCATATATACCGCGCCAATGGAGAATGCTCGAGATATACGGAGACGAAAATGCGCTTCAAAATCATTCAGCTCACAAATGAATAAAACGACGTTTGTAAAATTCTGCCGAGGAAATATTCATGAAGTTCATGAGTGTCCATGCCTTGTGTACGTTCTTCATATTTATTTGCAGAATAAAAGCCACGGCACGGACCAACGAAATAATTATCAAATACTCTTCTATATTGGTAAACTAACTCGATAGTAACACAAGATGCATCAACATCCCAAAAACTGGGTACACGAAAAAATAGAAACATTTTTACGGTTTTTGAGCGAGGATGGAAGAAACGTGCACTCAAGAGTCAAGACATGAAATTAAAAAATTTATTACCAAAAGCATTTTCTGATAGCAATATTTTTTTCCAGTAAGCTGAACGGACGTTGACAGGGAACGGCTCGAGCAATGACAATATGCAAGCTAACTCTGGTACCTTCATGCATCGATGATACCATGAAATTACCATCCAAGCCATCGTACGTACTTTTTTGAAGCTTGTACCTATAATGCCTTAAAGAAAAAACTATTGAGGGAAAAACGCACTGAAAAAGTTATTGAAGGCTCGGCTTAGGACCTGTCAATTCATCAAACTATGATAAGCGCGACTCAATTCCCGAGTATCGCAGAAAAGACGCATAAAGTCTATGTATAAGGGGGTGTGGGTTAATTTTTTCTAAGCAATTCTGAAGAGCGGGCCAACCTAAAGTTCCATGCATCTGTAATGGGCATTAGTATAAACTAAGGCATCGGGGTTCTCAGGTACCAATCTGGATATTTTTTGCCCGCAATATTGAGGCCGGGCTACTTCTGAACAAAACCTAATACCAAGCCATCAAAAAATAGGCTGGAGGGCTGCCCACCGCGGAGGGTTCGATTAGCGTTCATTTGAGTCCTCAAATTTCGTATAATTTAATGACATATTGGTACAGGCTTACGAGACCCCTGTACATATATACATATGTAATATCAAGATACATATAATCAATCAAGTTCGATGCGTTACAAAAATTATAGCTAATTGAAAGCAAGAATACATTGGAACTCAAAATGGAAAAAAACTGCAAAAATTCACCGTTTCTTCATTAAGAAGGAATTTATCAAAATATTTATAAACAAATTCACCAGTCGTTTGCATCAAAAAGCTTGATTCTTGCAATAATTTTTGGTAATGGGAGCCGAGAAGTACTTCTTTAATAACGATCAATCCCTTAATCAATTTCCAATACTATAGGAACGCATATCATTCCCAGGACACAATTAAAGTGAAGTGCTTTACTGACAGGTAACATAAGCGGTGAAACATAAACAAAAGACACATATGAAAAAAAAACACACATGAAATTGACACCGATTGTTCTCATCCGCGTTCCGTCGTTTTTATTAAAAAAGCAACTGCGTGAGACGTGTGAACCAAGAGAGGGTCTGACATGAGGCAACAAAATATGGAAATAACTCAGCATTCCAGTTCTTTGAAATAATCCAACGACGTCGCACGCAGTGAAGTACAAAAAAGAAAAAAACCGGACCGAGGGATCAGGTCATATCGTATATACAGTGCCTTGTGTTGTGTGAAGAGGAATGTGGCAGGATCAGGCGATTCCGGATTAACCGTCAAAAAAACACGCATCTATAATCAAAAACTAATTAAATGAGTTATTTATTATCTTACACCAACAAAAATAATACAAAACAATAATTTTGGCCCTCAAAATATCAACTTGAACAATTCAAAGGAACTTACTTTAATCCATTTCATCAGTGAGCTGGAAGGGTGTGACGAGAGAAATGTCAAAGCCTTCACAAAACAATTGCTCAAAACAATACAATAGAATTCTTCAATGCCTTTTTTTTTCACAATTATTTGTAATATAATGAATACGCCCAAATTATCTAAGTGTGAGTAAAAGAAATTGAACGGAGAGCTCGTTATTCAACATGCTATACAGATTAGGTACCTGAAAACGTGCTAACTTTGATAGATAAATTCTACAGTAAACCAACTATCTGGTGGAGTGATTTGCGGATACGATTGAGAAATGCACTTCTTTTTGAAAATTATCTTCGCTCTTGTTATGGAATAAGTCGTCAATAAAAGACCTGAGTTTCGAACGGATAATGTGGTACGAACGATCCCCGTAATAATGAATTTATCACAATCATAATCTCGAAAGAAATTATATTTCTACTTTCTAAATATAAAATTAATTTTTATAGAAATTTATTACTTGCAACGATGTTTTGGAGAACAAATTTACTACGTTTAAATAGATTTCAGATGGACTTTGATCAGATTCAAGATATTTACTGGTATATATTTTTTTTTTATTAATACAGGAATCGGATATCTAATTAGATACCAGATATGTATTAATTAGATAGCAGATTGTAATATGTTCGATATTCTCCAAGTCATCTTTCTTCACTACATATGGTACATATCACTTCCTTCCGTAATATAGTTTATTACAACAACATTTATCTAGTACCAATAAGGTACACAGCAGAAAAAGACGTTCGTCGAGGATAGGAACTTAGAGTCAACAACCCTACTAACTATAATATTCTGTTCCTAGTCAACTTCGGTCCGCAATCTAGTTGTAAACTTGGGATAACCGCTATTTGTCATAACAAATTCCTTACACAGATATACCTTAATTTGATTCCAGCTATTAATTAATTAGATTGAAAAAAACTGACCTCTTTGGTCCAGGGCCCCTTGACGAGCTCTGGGTTGACGACTTTCTGCCATCGCTGCTGGCACTGCAGCTCCGTGCGGTCAGGGAAGTGTGAAGAGATGGCTTCCCAGTTCTCGCCTTCAGCCTCAACTACACACTTCAGTTTCTGTGAGGTAAAGCAAAACCTACAGTTATAATCAGTTATATACTTGATACGACAAAAATATAAGAACTTCGAATGAGATTGTCAAAATTATTAATGACAGCGAACAACGCATTCGATACTCGGAAAATCATTTTAAGACGTCAATTTATTTTATGATCTGAGAATGCGTTTGTTTCATCAACCAGGTCCGAAGGTGAAAAATGAGCGGTCCTAATCGATAAATACATATCAAAATGGGCTTAAGGAAGTCATCAACGTGCATGACGTCAAAGTTAATGTTAATTGCAAGATTTCTTCAATTTCAATTGCGTGTGAAGAAATTATGAAAATAATGACGAGATAATAAAAGAGTAGGACAAAATAAGGGAAACCTCTGAATAATTCTTAAAATATATTATAGTACGGTGAAGGTTTACCGCTACTACATACTATACCTGATGTTACAAACAAGTGAAGAGCAAGATTTCTTGTGTATGAATCAATTATGAAAATAATAACGAGATAATATAATATAATTTAGTATAAAATATTAGTATCACCTCGTCTTCTTGCTTAGTCCACCGGCCCTTGTTGACGTGCTTCTTAGCGGCGCCAGACGAGGACGAGGCGAGACTCTCGTCCTCTAACGACCCCTCGTCTTCGTTGTCGTCGCTCGCATCTTCGCCGCCGCTAGCGCACTCGCTGTCTTTCCTGCGTAGAGAAAGAATTCGTTTTGAACATAGAAATTAATTTAGAGGGATACATGGATATACTCTATAATCGATATAATATGTTTACTCGGTACGTACTTGTGATTACATCTGATCAAATAAGGCTAATATGCACTCGCTGTCTTTCTCCTGGGTAGCGAAATAATTCGTTCTAAACTTCGAAATTAATTTAGAACTATATATGGATATATTATACAATGGATTTATTTTATACTGGATATGTATATTTACTCGATACTCGTGATTACATCTGATGAAATAAAGCTAATATGCACTCGCTGTGTTTTATGGGCATCAAAAACTTCCATTTTAAATACCGAGCTAAATAAGTTCAACAAAATACTAATTGTGACAAGACAAAACAATGCAACCGTGTACTTGCCTTCGTTCCTGCATTGAAAGATCACTCATTTATAAAAAGCTGATTAAAAATTAACACCAAGATCGATTAAGAGGCAATTCTTCCGCGACTTTAAATTGCCGACTATTCAATCGGTTAATGCATTAAAATCGAGATGTCGATTATCCGGCGAATATTAGCTTATGGTTCATGAAAATTATTAAATTGTTTTATAATTAGCTACGATTTGTCACTAGGTTCTTGAAACTTCCAAACATCAGCATTCCAATCCTACAAAAATTCCCAGAATTCCATTCCCACAAAAACTTATACTATTGAACTGGCACACGCAATTGGGAATGCTGAGGCGCATTCCAAATCGAAACCACAGGATTGTAAAGAGGCATAAAACCTCAAATATTAATGAGTATAGCGGCACTACAGCCGCAAAACCACAGCCTACTTCACAGAGGAGAAATAGGAGCTCAAAGTTTAATTTGATTTTATGAAATCTGGTTTCGACCATTCTAGTAGAGATAGATCTATCATAATGCAGATAGATCGAAGAAACTGTGTAATTATTGGGGGCGAAACATGTAAATATCGGTAGCTACTAAAAACACAAAAATAAGGCAATTTTATGTAAAACTGTTAACTTATAATGTTCATTGTCAATTCATTGCTTTACACTGAAACATTTTTCTCAGTGAATATAATGTTTGAAGTATGACAACATGTTTTCAACTATGACTAAAATTGCGGCAGTCCAATTCAAACCATCGAATTCAAGGAAGTAATAAATACTAAGCGCAATTAAATCTGAGGTTGTGGACGGCCACGGTGGTTAGCCGCCAATAAAACCAAAAGACGAAGGTTCAACTCGGAATAAAGCAAACCACAAGCCCAAGCTTGCAATTCAAATTATCTATGGTAAAATTGTGAACGTTAACAAACAAGTAACATACTAGGGACCGACAGCGAATTCAGACAAAAGAATTTAAACACAGCTTACAAGTGGGCATAATATTGAAAAAATGACATACGTATTTCGCTGGCAGAACATATGTATACGTATATAAGTATCGCGTACGAATCTTGTAAATAGGATACAAGACCATGAGTAGCGAACAGGTCGGGACAGTAGAGGTATAGGGAGGCGGCAGGTAGAGCAGCAACATGCCGGGGAGATGACGTGAGTTTAGGATCAGCGGGAAGGGAAAGAGGGAGGGGCATGGCAACAAAAGAAGCACATCAGGAAGTAAGGGGGAAGTTGGAGTAGAGGATGTTTCTCGTCCCCGACATTGAAAACAAGCGCCAGCGAGAGGAGTGTCAGCTTGACAGTAGAGAATTCTCATTAAAATAAGACACTAGTGCAAAAACATGTCTTCCAAGCCAATTGGATCATGGTGCTTAACGAGCAAGCATAACTAAGTTTCATATCGACAGAACGATAACAGTTTTATGTTAAAATTAATCGCGAATGGAAGTGCAAAATCACTGAAAGTAAATAGTTTTGAAGAAGAAAACACGAATTCCAATTTGCTACTAAAACGATCGCGATGGTATCTCAGAAACAATTCCCTGATAAAATTCCCCCAAAAATTGTAATGAAAATAAGACTCACGATAGAAAACAACTAGTGTTAGGCACAAAAAAAATATCTACATTCTTCAGAACTCGTTGCCCAGTGTAAGGAAAGTTAAACGCTTAAAACAAAGCTAATTTCCATTCATTGATATACATACATCATACATAAAGTATCAATTCAAACTGATCTCTGACATTTTTTCTTTGTCTATGATTCGCTGATACGATATCTAGGAGCAACGCGATTAAGTACTTCTTCGTCAGATTAGCTGTCAAGTACCCAAGCTCGCCGGCATTTGTTCTCCTAATAGACCGCACCTTGTCATGTATAATGTGCATGAAATATCAATTGCGAATCTTGCATTAAAAGCATGGTCCTATGCATAAACAAAATCATTGCAAAATTGGAGAAATCAAATTTCATCATGCGCCATGGCGAATCGGACACCACTCAGGATAAACGAGTGTCGAGTTGAAATAAAGCAACGACGTACGCCTTGAAGTCTGCAGAGAGAAGTGTACAAAGTCTACACAGTAAGGTTAGGGATTTATTGAAAGAATTACGGGGCAGTCTTAAACCCCAAATAATTTCAAATATGCGCTTTGAACCATGTTCTAGAATGAAGATATAGTCGACAGAGGAGTCGGAAGTCTAGATGTAGATTAGAGCCCTTATGAGGATACGGTGATGGAGGCAGCGATGATATGAGAGTCAAGACTTGAGGCTGGGCCATGTGGTGCTAGTGGAGCGATAAGACCAACGCTGCAGCTGTGGCTATCATTCAGCTGTAGCGCACATGGCAGCCGCAGCTGCTGCTATCATTCAGCTGTAGCGCACATGGCAGCCGCAGCTGCTGCTATCATTCAGCTGTAGCGCACATGGCAGCCGCGGCTGCTGCTACCATTCAGCTGTAGCGCACATGGCAGCCACAGCTGCTGCTATCATTCAGCTGTAGCGCACATGGCAGCCACAGCTGCTGCCCGGGCAGATATGATCAGGTAATCCGGGTTCACTAAGGTGAGTGTGCACTCTGAACACATCAATACTTAACCTAGCCTAAGACTGGTTCTGTTTACAATCTACGAGAGAGAAGTGAATGCATACCGATGGAATGTGTGATGACGAATGAGAGTCCACTAAGATGTAAATAGTGAAGTACGACTGATCGGAAAGTAAATACTACATAGATGGAGTTTATGCAGTAGGGAACTCGAGAACTAAGTCACGGGAGCGGATTTATAAAAAAATCTAATATTGCAAACCCCCAAAATAATGACAATTTGAGCAATCCAGCGATCGCAGACATTCAAACGCAAAATGACGATAGTTACTTAAGTTATGATTACGTCAGCGATTACACTGAGAAAAGTCAAAGAATTATTGTCCAAATAGCGACATTTCCTGGGCGTATTACAGATACACCCTTTTGCCGGGCCAAATTAGATCAAGATGACCCACACAAGGGAAATACGTGCATCGCTATTTGAACAAAGTGTCCTCATTTCTCAGAATGTCTAAGAAAGAGGCTCGTATGAAAGGCACTCACCAACGCTGTATCCACGACCATACTCGGCGGTGCGCTCGCATTTCTGCGACGTCCATTCTAAAGTCAAGAAGTTCTCTAAACTTCACAAGGGAACGACTACTAACACCAGAGAATTATCTTCACCTATTTCCAATGTCCATTCGAGAACAGATCAAAGTGTAGACAGAAGAGGCTCCAACTCTGGTAATGTACTAATGCTGTACTAATATACTTCAAGTAATGCTACTGCGCACTAAGGCTGTACTAATTCCTCTACGGTTGTCAACAAACTTTCATCTAGTGAAAACCGTCAACTAAAACCACATGATTAGGTGAACGATTTGGGAAATAAACTATATTTTTGACGGTGATTGTTAAGACGAATAATAAAAAATAAACGAATAAAAATAAACAAATAAAGATACAAATAAATAATATTTTTAACGGTGATTGTTAAGACGGATAATAAAAAATAAACGGATAAAAATAAACAAAAAGACGGATACAAATAAACAATATTTTTGACGATGATTGTTAAGACGGATAATAAAAAATAAACTGATAAAAATAAACAAAAAGAAGTATAAAAATAACCAATATTTTTGACGGTGATTGTTAAGATGGATAGTTTCTAGCAAGCAACGTCTAGGTGTCACGAGTGCTATAGAGGCAACGCTCGGGGCCAAGTCCGTGCCCCAACTGAGGGCAGGGCGCTCACATCGCCTAGTAGAGGGAACACTAACGCAACATACTCAGGGAAATGAGTGAGCAGTTGTCCCAATAGTGATGCCCTGTTTTTCCTAGTATGGGTCATGTTCTGTATCCGGTTCAACAACGCAAAATGGCGTGTCATTGCAACGTCCGCTATCTGCTCGTGAAAATAAGTAAGATAGTGTGTCACTATTTGGACTATACAACCCATCAATTTTTTGAGTGCAGGTCGCCACGTTAACCAGAACGCTTCGTAGGAAAAATACTTAAAGATAAAAGAGCAAGGGAAGATGAAAGAGAAAAAGTAATCATGCGGTTAATTCATCGTTTCATGTACAAAGATCGAAAAATATATGTTTTGAGTTTTGACCCTTGAAAACCACTCGGTTCATTGCAGCAAGTGGTCTTGAAGTAATATGAATGGTGGGACCTCAACACCAAGTAAGTGCGTCGTAAAGTAAAAGTTGAGGCTATGAATCGTGAAAATGTTATGACCTATAGAAAGCTAAGCCAGTACAACGTTTGATGAAGAAAAGCTCATAATTTTTAAAGGAAGAAAGCAGGTCTACATTTTTTTTTGTCAATAATAGAACATATCGGAGACTGACCAAGCAATTTGAAGAAATTTTTTAGATATAAAATATATAATAAAAATGTGACATTTTACATGAATTTACTCAAATTTGTAACTAACAAAATAAATGACTTGATCTAGGAATTTGAAATCAAAATAACTGGATAAAACTATGACACTGAAAATGAGCGAAGGCACAAACTAGTTAACACAGTAAATTTACTCGTATCGAACACTGACGGTTTTTAGGCTGATAAACAGAAAGCACGTCTATCCACATCTGGAAACGTGCACATGGAATAGCTAACGAAATCTAACTGTTAACATTAATAATTAGAACTCACAAGTACCGAAAGCGAAAGAAATGACAGGTCCAAACAAAAGTTGGCAGAATTTTGCCTTCTCTGGAGTCAAACGAGCCGAAAAAGCCATAATAAGATACGAAAAATGTTCCCAAGCAAGACAGGATAGAAGGTGAAACGAGCAGTAGAGAAGGGCAACACACGCAGAAAGTATAGAAGTAAAGCAGCACAGGCCCCGTTCGTAAACACTCACAGCTGATTGATGCTTCCACTAGGACGCACTCAGGCTACATATTTTGCTCGAGAGAGCAGGGCTGGGCACCAGGCCATTTAAATTCCAACACAGCCATACAAACACAGTAAATATCAACAGACTTTACAAGGTACTTTATCCCGAAAGTGAATAATATTGAAACTTTCATAGATTCTCAAACAGTATTCTATACCAGCAGTAAGCATATTTGTAATTAAAAAAATTTACCGCAGACATGTACCTAAGCAAATAATTTTTTCTTCTAAGACATCTTCCATGCAACAAGTAGAAGGTATCCTCATTTGACAGAAATGCGTACATATTTTCCTTCAACGAAAGAGGAAAAACATCAGTGTGCTTCGCAACTGCGATTTCAGCGACGATTGATGTTTACGGACATTAATTAGTAGTAGTAGGTTCATTAGGATTACCTTCGAAAAATGTATACATTTGGAAGCAGGTAACGGATGATGCGACAAGATTTTGAGCTTTATTTAACACGCATGTACCGCCTGGTTGGGCGTCTTTATTTCTTATCAATTTTTCAACATGTTATCAAACTCAGCGTGCTATATTAATCCATTTGCCGCTTGAATGTATCTTGACAATAGTTTACATGGTAAAGCATAACACAAACACTTCTACCAGTATTTTACTAACCACGATTATTATATAAAGTACAACCAACGGAACGCTAAAATGAAGTTATGAGAACTACTGCACTAGAGTGGGAGTTCGGCTGGCTGGGTAGGGGATTGGTTTACGCGCTATAAGCGGCACTGAGCTCTTGACGAATAAGGCCCCTCCCTATAAACTACAGACCAAGTGCAGGGACAGACTGACTGTGAACGAATATTAATATTAGGGGCGCTAACTTCATCCGTTAATTAATAGCATCGAATTTTTCATCGGGTTATAAAGAAATTATTTAATTAACTGCGAATACCGGACCAGCAGAAAGAAACATTTGGCGACATCTTAATTAGCTGGCTGATAAAGGCAGTTTGGCAGATAGATCGGAAGTAGTCAATACATACAATGTGAAAAGGCAATACTCATAGATACGAATACTGCCATATCATTTGACAAGCAATCAGTGGAATCTGACGACATAAGCATTCGCGGCGGTTTTAGTAAAAAACGAGCATAGATGTCAACATGACTGCTAATCTGTTCTCGTTATCGGGTATAGATTTCAACAGGACTGTTTTTATCAGCTCGTTTTCAGGCTGCCTAAAATTTACATGATTCTAGACGTAAAATAAGTAAAGGAAAATATTATACTTCATTCACACGTAAATCTGTCCATACTGAAGATGTACAGAAGCGGGCTCTGCCTTGCCCGTGTGCAGGTAAGACTAGACGCATTAGCGCACCGGAAGGAATAACACTCGAGGCGACGCCCGTGTTGAGATGGAAAACAAAGCACCCTACTTCTCTCCTCCGCAACATTGCCCGCGACAATTAACAAGAAAAGCATGGCTAAAATCCTAACTTCTGGTCTTTGAGAGAATATGTGAGGTAAAATGGGGTCCTATGCTCTCCGAGAAGTTTAAAATAAGTACAGTCAAACGGAAACTTCTGGTCTCTGCAAACTAGAACATGTGCAATCAAATTGATTTAATTTACTATGGAAGAACCAGGCTCAAAAATCAAGGCTTGCTCGAGACAATTTTTTTTAAATCAGACCCAATTACATGATTTAACAAATTTTCATTATCACCAAAACTGATAACTGCATTTATTTATTATAAAATAATTTAAATGTCTAGCTGGCAAAATTCCCATTTTCCTAAAGATTTTTCAGAAATACTGAATTGTTCTTGTGCTGATAAAGAATATAACACCTCAAATTCTATATTGACAAATAAAATGCATATTACAGTTCACCTGTTTTAGAAATAATAACAAGGACTTCAAGGAATCACTTCGTTTCCATGTCAGAACTTTACCACAAATGTATCCTAAAACCAACAAGCTCAATTTAATTTAACCAATCAAAAGGGTAACATTAATATATGGGACTTGAGTCATAGAAACCTCACATGAACTACAGGGGATAAGAAGAGAACCAAAATTCTCTAAGAAAGCTTTCAAGTTTTTGTAATTTTATTGTGATTTATGTATCAATTGCAATTCACAATCTGTAGACACTGCCATTTATACACATTTGCATGAGTTTGGCAATATTTTTGCAAAGGAAAATGTATTGAAATGTGCTAAGCATATTATAGAGACCCAGCAAATAAACAATTCTCTATAATTCAGAACCTACAGAACACTTGCAATATCAAGCTGGCCTTAGATACATTTTAATTAATCAAATCAATTATTATCAATGTTAATTTAATTTATACATCTTATTGCTAAGGTCTACTTTATTAGGTATAAAAAAATATTTGTGAGATTGTTTTATATCACAGTGATGTCAGTCAGGGAAAACAAATGAACTTGAACAGGTGTGCAAGATATGCAATAGATAGATCTATGCAGGATGAAAAGCCTTATTTAGATGAAGCCAGCAAAGCCTTTCAGAATGTCTTGTAAAGTTGTATGGCAGAGACCTCTTCATCATTAACATCACTTAACACAGCCAGTGGATCATCTTTTTTTTTTATACCATAAATAAAGTCTGTGCTTCTTCTTAGCAAAGCCTGCAATTTTTGTGATATCAGTTTTTGCAATATCAAGATCAGTGACAAGGATGGCAAAGCAAATGCAGGAATGTTAGCAGATAATATTACTGCAAATCACAAGCTGACATAATTCATAGAAACAAACAACATACTTGAAATAAAGAAATTATAATGTTCTCCCAAATTACAACCTGAAAACATGATAAAAATAAATGGCAAAATGAATTCTACAAATCACAATATGACACAAGGTATGCCTCTAAGTGCATGAAAGCATGCAAGTGCATAAATCTAATTCTACTCAAATTAACTGAAGAGTGCATTGTTCTAACACTGCTTCATCACTACATGTGTTAAATATCTATGGATTAGTGATAATGAGATGACACACCAAGATTTCAGTAAGCCAAGAGCAATTGATGGTGCAGTGTATTTCATATGTTAAAGCACCAAATTACCCTGTATTGGTTTGCTTATTCTTCCCCATTTATAATATTTCAGCCAAACTTTGTTTGTGTACAAGACCTGGCACTACAAAAATATAATATACATAGGGGCTATTCAGGGTCTTTCCTATATTTATAGTGCCAGGATATTACCTGGACCTACAAATTTATTTTCAGTGAAAGAATGGTAAGTCATTGCAAAGTGCAATGCAAAAAAAAAAAAAAAAAATGGGCAAAATGGGAGCAATAGATTAAATAAAACATTGAAATTTGATTTTTATAATTGGAAACAATAAATATGCTTTAAAAGACACGGAATATTTCCACATTTCCAGGAAAGGGTCATCTTTAAGTTCTGTATTAAATGCAAAACTATGGGTTT